CCATGTTTTCCTCTGTTTAGACTGCAGGAAACAGCCTTTTAAATCCTCTCCAAAATACTATCTGCAACAGTTATTAATCACTTAATAGGACTGTCCACTTTTATTTGATCACATTTAGAAAACACTATTTTAATGATTTTCATCACTTCAGTCATTTTACAAGCACAACAGCTAAATTTTCTCTAGTTTCAGCTTCCAAGATTTGAGGGGTTGCTGCTTTTATTCGTCACTTGTATGATACCACACTAAACTGAACAGTGGTGGAGGAAGTACTCTGAGCGTTCGTTTTAGTAAAAGTAGTAAAATACTCAAGTAAAAGTCCTGCATTCAAAATGTTACTTAAGTAATAGTGTGATCATCAAAAAATACTTTGCGCACTACAAGTAAAAGCACTCACATTATTGTGAATAAATGTTGCAGGGGGAGCTAGTTTAACTAGTTAATGTGCTTATAATGTGAAGTACCACTGGTTAGCTTGTGAATTTTCCATCGGAGATAAATAGTCTTATTATGTTGTAGTTTCTTTGTTAATCAGATTCTGAAAATAACTAGTAACTAAAGTTGTGAAATAAATGTAGTAAAATGTAGTGGTCAAAGTATGAAATAGCACAAAATGAAAATACTCAAGTAACTGCACTTAAGTACAGTACTTGCATGGATGTACTTAGTTACTGTCCACCACTGAAATTGACTAACTTTATGTTTAAGACTATTGTTCTGACAACGCAAGCACTGAAGACATCACTGTCGGCTTGGAGAAACTGACATTTTTTCACTTTTTACAGACATTTTATAGACTAACTCTTAGTTTCAAGCTTCAGTGTCTGAGTTTTTCTTGTTCTGCGCAGATAATTTTTTACTTTGTACTGGAGAAGTCACCAGTGTGTTTAGATGTGTAATATTAGTCTGTTTTTGGACATATTGGTCAAACTTTGACTGGACATCTTAATCACTGTCTTCTAAGCAGGACCTCTTCAATCTGAAGAGGGGGGGGGATCTTGCCGCTCTGCTGCAAATTCAAAGGTGGCAACATCAGGTTGCTGACTTGTTTCCCTCTTGACAAAAGAGGAAAGCGTCCGTGATGTTTAACCAGCTCCGCCAGGGTCAAGAATGCAGCCCACTAGCAAGGGAACAAAATTCCTGACACAACTGATCTCCCCTCCCTCCTTTTGAAGTGGGACCCACCAAGCTCTCAGAGCACGGCCGCTCCCTGAATCACAGGATCTCTGCTCATATCCCAGACCGGCCTAATCTGGAGGGTCACCCCAAGTTTACTTTCTCAGAGACACCGGTCCTGCCCAAAGAAACAGAATCCATGCAGCTTAAACTGTTGGGTGGGCACAAAAGGAGGGTCATCTCTGTCTCTCTGTCTGTCTCTGTTCACAGTACTGTTTGTTAATGACACAATAGACAAGGAATCTTGAAAAAACAAAAGGTTTTCCCTGCAGCTATGTCACCAATCTGATTAAAAAAATCTGGCTTTGAAATGAGTCTGAATTGTTAAAAGGCTCAAATGTGCAGACCCAGATCTGTGTCAGTGCTTTGACATTATGTCAAGAGAGCAGTTTTATTCCAGACAACTATGGGTGCAGTGCCAGATTAAATTTCCTGCTAATTTATACATAAGAAAATAAGAAATGTAACTCAATCAGCAAATATGAAGCAGGAAAAATATATTCTATACAGTGTCAGACCCACAACTGTGTGAGTTTTAATAAGTGATATGTACAACCATCATTGAAGTACTGTAATATTTTAAGGAAGTCTGTGGATTCTCACTTACATCTGCTGTCAGCGTTGTTGCTCTTTCAAACAAACAAACAAGTAAATATCTGATTTCTCTGTCGACCTGGCAACTTTGGTCACGTACTGCCCCATTCTCCTGAATCCATCGTTATAGTGAAGCCGCCATATATTTATTTCTTTCTTTCTTTCTTTAATTTGTTTAGTTTTTCCAGTGGAAGTCACGTAAGTTACGCGTACGAATCTCTTTGCTGAACATACATTTGTCACACACTCATTTGAAGACTTAGCAGACATTATTATTTTTGCTCAGTTTGTTTTTGCTCTTAGGATTACCTTACATTTTAATGGCGTGCACTGTGAAAAGCATCCCTCATTGAGTGGGACAGTCGAGCACACTCTCCATGTTAAAGGAGATATTCCTCAGAAAAACGATGTTGTGATTATGTTCAGCAGTGTCCAGGAGTACACTCGGTTATTTGGGCTTTTACGTAATTCCACAATAACGAAACATTTTTTCTGTTCATACCTGGTCTTTCAGTGCTTCACTCCATCCCCTTGCTGTATAATAATAGTCATTTAAACAAAATAATTAAAGTGCACCCACAATATATTGGTTAATACAGTTGTTTTCAGTGGTAAGCAGTGTTGAAAGAAGTTCTTTACTTAAGTAAAATCATCAAAATATACTTAAAGTACCAAAAGTAAAAGCACTCATGATGCATAATGGCTCATTTCGCATTGATTAATGTCCTATTATTGGATTATATTATCGTTAGCGTTACCATGTGGTCTAGGATCCATCCCATGTAATGTAGCTGGTTAGGTGGAGCTGATGGTAACTACTATATATAGGCCGCTTTTCATTTGAAGTACTTTACATTCTGCTGAGTAGCTCGAGAATTTTCCCAATGGAGGATCAATAATTATGATGTATTTCGTACAGTTAGGCTGATTCTGAAAAGTAGACTAAAGTTAGCTATCAGATAAATGTAGCGGAGTAATGTTTGCCTCTAAGATGTAGTGAAGTCAAAGTATGAAGTAGCACAAACTGAAAATAATCAAGTACAGTCGCCTGAATGTGAGATGTTAATGTAGTAATAAACACTTTAATTATCTGTACTACTGGATATTAATATTAATAAAGTTCGGAACTAATAAGTAGTCTGCTAGTTTCTTCGTTATTATTGAATTGATTTGCAGCATCTCTTTGCAGCCCTGGGCCTTTGCCGGCTTGTTGCTCCGTTTATTTATAGTCATGTTCCTTCAAATCCGTCTCCTTAAAACGCCAGAGAGGCCTTATAAAAACCTGTGGTATTCGGATTACCAGCCGCCTGGGCTAAAGCAATAAATGGGCCAGTGGGGTCTTGAATGGGTGCAGTGGTGTGAAGGGGGAGTAATTACAGCTTCATATTAATTGTGTTTTTCTCTCTCTCTCTCTCTCTCTCTCTCCGCGCACGCACACACACACACACACACACACACACACACACTGCAGTGAGGCGGTGGTGACATCCAAGAGGGCCAAGTCTTTGTACCGAACACGTCAAGTTTCAAAAACAAGGCCAATTGAAGCGGCGGAGCTCAAAGCCGGCACCACTGTAGGCGAACACATTGAGTTTTGATTGGGGACAATGGTGTTTCTCAAATTTCTAGCAAAAAGAAAGCCATACTCCATCTGTGATCTCAATGAGCGCCTATTCATGAGCTTCCCTTCTTTTCTGAGCCATTCGTTGGTGGAGAAAAGGAGGCAGATGTGGAGGGATAGAGCAGGGGAGAGTGCGTTTTAATTGGATGCAGTGTGTAGGTCTGTCTCTGTCTTTCTCTCTCTCACACACACGCAAACACACTCACACTGGAGTTATATGCCCCTATGAGCCTTGCAGAAGGGAGAGCGGAGAGCCCAATAATCTCGCCCTGTTGATGAATACTTGTAGCCCATTCATTAAACAAAGTTAATCCCTGCCAACCTACCTCTGGGGCACAAAACGGTCTCTCTCTCTCTCTTTCTGTGTGTGTGTGTGTGTGTGTGTGTGTGTGTGTGTGTGATTTCCTGATCGCTGGCCAATAGCTTTGGCAGACAGGGGACAGATGAGCCCTTCAAATCGCTAAAATATTCATACGCCGGTGCGGGGTTATCCTCCTCCTACAAATAAGTGTTATTCTAGTTATTCTAGCGGCTGAAGAGTGATGCTTGAGAGACCTCCCTCTTCAGCTCAAGTGCCTCTTCAGCACATCGCCTTCCTCAGAGCAGCACACATTTAGCCCATGTGTTTGTCTGTGTGACTTCTGCAAGGCTGCAAACCAGTCACACCTTTGGTAAAATGTCTGGAGTTTATTCTCCTGTGGTGGGATGGACTCTAATTGGTACTTACTTGACATGAGTAATGTCATTTTAGGCTACTTCATTATTTTAAAAACAAATATTGTACTTTTTATATTCGGCCTGCTTCAAGGTGATTAAAAAACCTAATTGTTTCTTCTACATCTAACTAGCCAACAGTATATTATAATAGTTCAATCTCAACAAACCCAACATTAGCACAGTAACATAAGAAATAATGATATACTCACACAGGCACCAGTCTTAAGCATTTCACTTTTATTTTATTCTGACACTTGAAGCACACTGTGCTGATTCTGTGGTTTCACTGCAGTGACATCTTTTATTTCACTGGCTTCATTCACGTCCACTGTTGCTGCGTTTTAGACTGAAGTATCCCGAAGAGTTCTACCACTATTGTTACTTTCACGATCATAATTAGTATAAATGTTTAGAAATGCTACTTGCAGACCTCGTGTCTGATGTGATTTTCTGTGGATTGCTGTGGTGGACCATAAAACTGCCCTGTGAGGTGGTCGTTACTCATCATGACCCATCAGAAATCAGCCATAACTTCTGGCAAAGCTTTGACCTGTTCACGCCTATTTATATTTCAGATTGTGAATTTCCATATTACTGTTGTATGTCAGCATAAAAGGCAGGCTATACACTTCCCCAGCTATGTGTTGAGTGTGTCTCCAGCCTGCACTGCTCCCCTGACTCTGCCATTGAAGGAATGCATTTAGCCTGATCCGTTTCCCCGGCGCGGTGGAGCTGGTGTGAAGTGGCAGGTTAACAGCCTCTTGTCTATAAGCCCGGGCCTACTCGGTGTGCCCGTCAAGCGTGTAAATACTTCTGTGAAAAACCCCGTGCGTCTCTTTTCTCCGCGGCCCCTTGTCTAACTGCTACTCTAACCTCTGCCTCTGTGTGACAGAGCCGGCTGCTGCGGCGGGAGAGCGCGGGAGGGGATCCGGGCCCAGCCGGGCTGCAGGCGGGGCAGCGGCAGTGGGAGAGGCCGCTAGAAAGCCGCACCAGGGTGCAGGGCCAGCGGAAACATGCTGCTACATATGTTGGGTCAAGCATGGCTTTTGTTGTGATCTTAAAAGGGTGTTAAAAACCCACTCGTCTGTAGCCTTCCTGAAAGAAATGAAAGCATCGCATAGTTTTTTGATGCATAGGCCTAATGAAGTGGTTAAAAGAATGTTGGATTTTCTAAGTGCTCACAGTCACTTTTAATCGTGCGGGGGGCATTTTTAATTGGGCAGGGAGGAATAATAGTCAACTTAATCCTTATCATAATGCAGATTTTTGAAAAATGAACTTTCCGTTCATCTCAGCCGAGATAGGTGTGAACCAGCAACGTTTAGGCGCCGTGGAGGAAACCGGCGGCTCGGTGCTTGATTTGAGTGAGCATCCTTTAGATTTCACCCACTTGTGTTAATATTAAACAGCACAGGAGCCTTAGGAGCTCTCTGTGGACAAGTATGGCTCAACAAACAAAACTTGGAGAAACAAGTCCAAGTGATTGCCTCTTAAAATCTAGTGGAAATTGTGCGTAATGTGAAGAGGTGATGGGGAAACCTGCGTCTTTAACTGTTCTCTTTCCGTCTTTACTTAGTCTCTGCCAATACAACGACACACTCAGCAGCCAGACTAATGAGAAGTGCAGGCTGTTTTAATTTTAAATCCTTCATTCTGAGGTGGAAGCATAGGGCTCAGTCTCTCCAGTGAGCGTCGGGCCTTCTCTGCAGTTTGCAACTATCACTTTACCGCGCAGGGCGGGCAGTTTTCATCCGAATGAGATCGTCCCCCGTGCAGATAATTACTTTGAATGTCAAAAAGATGTAGTTTTAATATCATCTCTATTAGCCTGTTGGCTAGGTAATTAAGGTGCAGATGACAGCGGCGAGGGAAACAGATGGCATTTGCTTACAGTGATTCAGAAAGTAAACAATGAGCCGGGGAGGAGAGAGAGGCAGGGCTGCACGGTGGCTGCTGCACACGGAGCAGCCATTTCTTTCTTCATCACCTTCAAGTTATTGTTGTTGCTGTTGTTGTTCGGTAAGACGACTCATTCTCCAAGGGACTGACAGTTGTTGATTTAAAAAAAAATCGATATACTTTTAATTTGCATTGAATTAGTTGCATGAGTCATCTCCTGAGTGAACAGGTGAGAAAGCAGGTGGTTTGCACGAGTTGCCCTTTTGTAGCTCCGTGCGTGTGGACTTGTCAAATCTCTGCAAGCATTACAGTGTTGTCTTACTCCGTTAATAGGAGCTAAAGCTCAGTTTCTACAGGTTTTTTAGAAATAGTGGAAGAGTACATTCTGCTTCCCTTCTCTCTTTCACGCTTATAGAATGCTGGGATTTAATTAGTTGAGAAAGATGAGAAACTGGAAATCCAAAAGGCAAAATCTCTAAAGTGCATGTTACGATATTATCCTAATTAAGGTCCAACAGCGATTATTTAAGCTGGGTGAACAATATATATTGAACTCGGAATAAGTGACATACTATTACTAATAATAAATATTATCCATAGATTTTCTACTTTATCCATCTTCGGTTATCCGGGGTTATTTATACACGCTAAAAAATAATGTTAATGATATAACACTTCACAATAACAGTCGTTAGATTCACAATTATTTTCTACACTGCCGTAGACTAATTAATGGAGAAGTCAAACTTGGATAATTTAATTAGTGGCACAAAGTGTCAAACAAAACAACAGAAAATATTAAAGAGATCGTCGTTTTTAGAGATGGGAAATGTATGTTACATTGGAAAAACGAAATAAAGACCAGGAAAGCTGTGGTTTGGCCTGCACATTTAATACATGAATCTATAATGAAGAACATGGCATCACACATTCATTTCCTCTAAGAAGTGAAGGTTGTAGTTCGAATCTTTCCTCTTAAACAGCCTACCTGAAACAAATGTTTAAAAGACCGTAGAAATTAAGAATCCAAATAGATTTCGTTACATGTAGTGCAGCAGAGACGAGATTATAAATATTTTGGACAGGTTTAAACGTCCAGCCAGTTTTCCTGTTGAACAGTGCAGGTTATAACCATTTAGCTTCATTTTCTGCCACCTGCTGCAAATGTGACCATTGTCTCCGACAGAACCAATTTAGCCTGTTCTGGAATCAGTAAAATAAATCATACTTACCTTCCATCTCGGTGAGATTACAGTCACTCATCTTTATTTTGAGGAAACAAAAGTCTTTAAGTTGTCTAATTAGTAGCACAGACACACAGACGCAAGGATGGCGATGTCACATCCAATCAGTCATGTCGCCAAATGATACAGAATATTTCTTGAGAAATGTACAGAAAGGAATGAAGATGTCCTTTCACTGACTGACTACTATTTAAATTTTACTGCCCTGTCTGGCAACGTATCATGCTGTGATGAAGCTGGTTTACCTCAGTAAATGGAGTAACACGGGCTATTGTTTTAAATCTATAAAAAAAAAAATCTTTTTTTTTGGAAATACACAGCATCGATTTGAGTTTTCCGGGAACTCCCTTCAGAGTCTTAACACTTGATATTTGGAAAAAGAACTCAGGTGGACACAGTTGAAAAAAGGGGCAAGCCAATCAGATTGCTCCTTTCCCCCTTGGCCAATGACAGGCGCCACATTGTTGTCAAATTTGTCTAATGAAAACGTAGGCGCAACAATAGAGAGGGGAGAGAGGGATCTGTAACCACTGACAATCTCAGGAGGAAGTTAGTGTCTCAGGCTGCGGCGAGTAACAACCTCGGCTCCTCCCGGACAGTTGTAACTTTACACTAGGAGGAATGATCGCTCTTCTCGGCTCCTGCTCTTTCCGGATTTAAAGTCGACTGTATCTACTCGTATCTTTGCTTCTTCGGCAGCCTCCAGGACAGTTTCCACCAGAGTTTCGGTCATAGATTTTTGATAATCGATAGTAATTTCGTCAGTAGACAGACATCGCTGACTTCACCTGTTGCCCAGAGATGCTGAGAACCGCTGAGCAGATGTGATCGGCCCAGCACAGTCTAACTAAAACAGATCGTTCAGATAACGCGGTTTTCTTGATTATAGTTTAGATACATCAGTGAGGAACACTGGCATGGATCTGAGACCGGAGCTCCCCACTGCCTCCTCTGCCTCTCAAGTCCACCCCGGTGCGGCAGCGGCGGCCGCCTCCATCCCGGTGTCCATGGCCGGCAACCTACTGCGCGGCCCTCCGCTCCTCCTGCGCGCCGCGGATAAGTACCCGCGCACCCCGAAGTGTGCCCGATGCAGAAACCACGGCGTGGTCTCCGCGTTGAAGGGTCACAAACGGTACTGCCGTTGGAAGGACTGTATGTGCGCTAAGTGCACTTTGATCGCTGAGAGGCAACGAGTGATGGCGGCGCAAGTGGCGCTGCGGCGGCAGCAGGCGCAGGAGGAGAACGAAGCCCGAGAGCTGCAGCTGCTCTACGGCCCTGCGGAGGGACTCGCCCTGGCCGCTGCCAACGGCATCATCCCTCCGCGTCCAAACTACGAAGTGTTTGGCTCTGTCAACAACGAGACCAACTCAGGTGAGTGAAGCAGCTGTACGCACTAATACAAGGGTCAAGAAGTGCGGCTCTGTGAGAGGTGCATCAAACCTCAAGCACATTAAAACAAACGGACTTGACTGGAGTGTAACAAGACAGATGTGTAATGGTCAAGGGCGTTAACTAGACAGGCCTCGATAGTGTTTATTATTCCATCAATTTAAACTCTTTTAGACCAGTTATGGTGAGAGAGCTTCTAATGGAGAGTTGCAGTGTGGATGCCATGCCACACAGCTGGCGACACCGGCAGCTAGCAGAAGTGATTTTGCTTTTCAGTAACATTTGATGCACTTAAGTTGTGACTGACCCAGCTGTTAGATACATGTTAAAACAGCTGTCTTTTAAATGCATGTGATATGTAGTTTTTATTTCCTTCCTAACGTTGGTTGATCTCTGCTGATTCATTTACTGGGGATGATTTTCTTATCATGATACTTTGGTATTATTATTTGACATATTGTGGCCTAAATCCTACACATTGTGGTGTTCTGGTTGTGTCAACAGATTCAAGTATTCCCAAGTATGAGTTGTTTTCAAAGAGCCAGCTGTCCGGATCCGCCACCCCTCAGCAGTCTGTGGGGAAACCTGCGTCCACCGAGAGTGACTCGGCCCCGGGCATCTCGTCCCCAGAAGGCCGGCACGGAGGCTCGGGTTCAGAGAACGGAGACAGTGAGTCTTTCATCAGCTCACCTGTATCTAAGCCTATAAAAGACGGAGAGGAAACTCCTGGGTCCGTTAGCTCCCTCGGCTCTGATTCCGGCTCAGAGACCGACAAAGATGATCAGGAGCCCTCCCCCTCCTCTGCGGCCTCCCGGCACATGAACGCCATCGACATCTTGACCCGAGTGTTCCCCAGCCACAAGCGGAGCGTACTGGAGCTCGTCCTGCAGGGCTGTGGTAAAGATGTGGTGCAGGCCATCGAGCAGATCCTCAACAACAGCGGCGCCCAGGGCCCCAACAAGACCGGGCCAGAGGAGACGTGGACGGCGGAAAGGATGCTCCAAAACGCACAGCAGCTTCCACAGTCCTCTGCCTCCACAACCACCCCGACGAGGCCCATGTTACCCGGAGCCATGACACTGAGCAACCGCTCTGCATTTTCTCCCCTACAGCCAAACGCCCCGCACTTCGGCGCGGACCCCAGTACCTATCCTCTGGGCACCCCCCTGGGACTGAACCCGCTGCGTCTGGCCTATTCTGCGCACAGCCGGGGTCTGGCTTTCATGACGCCCTACTCCACCACCGGGTTGATGCCCACTCTGGGCTTCAGACCCCCGATGGACTATGCTTTCAGTGACCTAATAAGGGACAGGACAATGTTACACAAGGAGCAAGGCTATGCCAGCGGCCTATACGGGCCTTTGGTCAACAACACGCCGGACAAACAGTGAGGCTGCTGGGCTGAGCACAGAGACACAGTCCGTTGCCACAAATGTTGAATGTCCTGGCGAAAATCTGTGATATGTTTTGGCTACAGGCTACTGCATATGATAGGATTATGTGGCGTGTAGTCAAATGGCTTGAGAGGGCGGAAAAAATGTAACTCACTTGTATAATTTTATATAGACTACAAACTTTTGGATGACATCCCCCTTTATCAGCCTGGTTCTGCTGTCAATAAAATAACTGATGTGATATTTAGCTCTTCAAAAATAAATCATGACTGGGAAAGTAAAAAGTAAACCCGGTGACACAAAAGGCTAAAACTAATCATGCATGAATTTATTACTGATCGATATGTCAAGTCTGCAGGATTTAAAATAAAATAAAGTGACGAAGAAATGATTTAACAGAGAGTTATGCCGATTTAGAGCTCATCAAACCTTTCAGCTGATTTGTGGAACTGAAGTTTAAAATTTAAATATGAATTTCTCCTCACACCCACACACACACACACACACACACACACACAGAGGAAACAATAAACCGGGCAAAGTTAAGTTATTAAAACATGTAGCCTACGGATGTTAACCCCGTTTCCTGTTGTAAAAGTTGAACTAATGATTTGTAAATGCCATTTCTTTTTTCCCTCGTGTATCATTTCACTTTTAGTTCGTTTCCAACTGCCTGTATTATATATTGCACTTGGTAAGATGAAACATTACGCTCTATTCGACTTTTCATTTATCTGTTAGTCAGCTCAAATATTTTGTGACAAAGTGCTGGATGAAGTCAGTTCCTCTTCAGATGTTACAAGCTGTGCTGTCACACTGTATGAATATGCTGGAAATAAATGTTATTTTAAAGAAACTGGAAATGTATTATTTAGTGTTGCCACTGACATAGAAGTACTGCAGACTATTATCCAAGCGTACAATCTCTTATTTTTATTTTTATTTTTAAATTGGACCATCATAAAGACGAGGCCTGTTTTAACGGCCTTTGGCGCAAAAGCATCGTTCACTTTCCGCAAACACCTTCAAACCTGTCTCATGTTCAGGCCTATGACAGCGCCCGAACACCGAGGAAACAACGAAACAAAAAGTTGGGATTTCTTTAAATCCAGAGGGCTGATGCTGATGCTGGCAGCTGTTTCTTGACCGATCATGGAAATTGTGCTAATAAGAGTAAGAACTAAAGTAAAAAAGATATTTTCACAAATATTTTAAAAAGGCCTGGAGCACACATAGAGTAGGTAACATGCCTGATGTGATGAGTAGAAGCGCACATGTGACTACCAACGATGACAGGCAGCTGTGAACCAGTAACACGTTTACTTTTACTTTGGAGCTTATGCACCTTTATAGCAGGGCGGTTTCAGCTCAGACACTCCCTGTTTTGGTTTGTAGGCCTATATCCACTTTGTTTTTAAATGAAATCTAATTAATATATAGGCTGGAATCTTAAAAAATAGAGTTGATCATTATTAGATCAACTAGCTTATAACTACTTGTTAAATAACTTGGTAGAGAACCGTGAAATTTAAACTTTGTAATTTCACGCTCATCATTATCCGTCTAAGAAAATCAGACCGTTGAAATTTTTTAAAATTAGGCATATTTTTTGTTCAGAACCATAAAGTAGCCTAGTAGTAGTATTTTCCCACAGCCTACAAAAATAAAAAGTGAAACCCGGCACTGCCAGCAAACATTCAGATCTCACAGGCTTCTGTTGGAGGAGAAAACGACCTAAACATGTTTTGGGAGAAACCTAATAATCCTCTAGCCTATGACCCCCCCACCAAGTAAAAGTTTACTTTACAACAACAGTATTTCGGACTGGACGCCATGGTTTTACTGGTGCTTACACTCACTGGGCTCGACCTGTCAACGCTTTCTCCACCCACTCAGGGATTCACCAAAGGCGGATCATTTCCAAAGAGCAATGGCTCCACCTACAGGCCGTCCGACGTCAGTACAATTACATGTTTAACTTTGATTGGTTGAGAATCGACACAAGTCCGTGTTACACCTGACGGATTATTAATGAAATCAATTCAAATAAATCAAACTGGCCCAGAATATCATTTTCATATTAATAATTACCCTCATGTCACATGCAGTAGATCTGTACAGTGAACACACAAAGCATAGAAAAGCACTATTCAAGTATAAGACCATTCACCTTTACACTTGTGCATTATTTATTTATTAGCAGTCTACTCTTTTTAGTGGACTCTGTTCTAGCAAATATGACTCTTGCAACATTATTTTTGTGAACTCCTAAGTCAAAAAAAGGCCCTCTTAAATACTACATCCCTTAAACACATCATGTACTTTAACTTTATGTCAGTGATATCATATTCTGGGTATGGTCGTGTGTGCTCTACGTTCAAAGCAGAGGACTCCTCTCTGTCTTTCTCTCCACTACTGCGCATGGCAGTGGACAGAAATGTGGAATGATGTTTGAATGATAGCAACAGTTCCCTGGTTTCTTTGCATCCTTCTGAGGAGTTACCAGGCTAGAGAGGTAGAGTAGAAAAAGAAAAGAACTCTGTTCATTTAAAACAACCCAGGGACACGGAATCATGAAATAGCTAATATAACTTTAAAGGCTGCTACATGGGGAAGATGTGGGCTCCCTTCATATCCAAGTTGTTGTGTGTAGCTCAGACAGCACCGCTAGATGACAGTCTTGTCTAACAAATCTGCAGTATTGTTTTGAAATATTGTGCATTACAGGCATTTGTAAGACCAACTAGAGACTATAGCTTAGAATGTACCTGCATGCATTGTGAGGTCTGGAATATTATACACATTTAAAAACAATAATAATTCCTAATCTAAATCAGCATCTCTATGAGAAATATACATTTTATTTAAAATATACGGTGAACTGCAACAGCTGTTTTTGTGTTTTTTTTCTCTGTCATTGTTTGATTTAAGTACATTTTGACAAAACGCTGATAGTCAGGACCACATTTTATTTTTCTAACTGTGTATATGACACACTTGGGGTGCTGGCTTGGATTTAGTTGTGCATGCTACAGCACAAAGAGTGTCCTCTGCTGGCCTCTTGTGTGCAAAGCACTGAGCATATGAGCATTGCAGCCCCTCTGTACCAGTGAGTTATATATGTGGTCGGCACCACTGAACAGGAGCACCTAAAGGTAAACACCCTGGTTAGCATGAGTGGTTTTTTTTTTTCCAGGGGCCTTAATGATAAATGTTGTCACATGCAGATAAGTAGATTTAGCTGTATTTAAAGCATCTAGATGAAGCTATTGCTTAGACTCCAACGCATGTGCCTGAATGTAATTCTTTTTCTTAGTAATGTTATCATAGTGCATCAACAGCATAGATCACTGGCCCCCGTGGCCCCAGTGTGTGAAATCCAGCTCAAACTGCAGAAACCGAGTTTGTGATATATGGGGGAAGGAGTAGCATTTTGTAGTGGAACGCTGGTCTGCTCCAGTAAATGCACAGTTATGTTTTCCATGTTCCTTTCTTTGTGTTCACTAATGAATAATTAGGCACAGGCAGATAAATAGCTTCAGGCTCCCAGAGTGGTGCAGGGGGAGAGAGAGAGTGTGTGTATGTGAGAGAAATCCAATTAAGTTATTACTCTATACAAAAAACCCATTTTCATTTTCAGAGCTGCTGTTTTGTTTACTGTCAGAATAACATATAGATAACAGAAAAACAAACCAACAGTGAGAAAAGACAATTGATAAACAATAAAACAAAGTCTTGTAGGGTATTTTTGCACTCAAACTTTCTACAGCTATGTGGGCTCAGCAGCAGTAGTATTGTCTCAAAATAGTAAAAATGGAAATGGCTAAAAACCTTGTTTGTATCTGTGCTAACATCCACGATGCATATGTTAATAAAACACATGACTGTATTGGTTTTATTGGTAATCTGTAACCTGTAGCCTAAACTGAGTCCAGGTACACAGGCTACTAACAAATTAATTGATTTGGGAATCTCATCCTCATCTGGAGTGTCCTACACCAACCTGACCTCGCCACTCCCCTCTTTATCATCATACAAAGTGCAGGTTTACTCGTGGTTCCTAGAGTCCACAGAAGTAGAATGAGGCAGAGTCTTTAGCCATCAAGCTTCTCTCCTATGGAACCAGCTCCCAGTCTCAGTTGAATACAGCACTCTCTATTTTTCTTTCAGATGTTCCCTTTCACGTGCACTGTAATGTCCCTATCAAACCAAAACAGCTACTGGGAAGAACCTTGGTTTCAGGTGTGAAAGGACCAACACAGGTTGTCTGACCTGGATATACAGCATTGCTCATGATCACGTTTTAAGGTAAACACACACTCAGACTTTGGAGCGGTCATGACAGGTTGAGGGAAACCTTTCCACAGTTTGGAAGGTATAGTAACAACGCTGTAAAGAAATTCCAGTTAGGCAAATAGGCTTAGCCTAATAGTGGCACAAATATGGTATGGCTGGTTGCAGGAGTCATCCAAGATGTGGAAGGTCAACATCGGTGCAAACCTACCCTGAGAGTTGTTAACTGGATTTGATTTATAACTCAGATCAGCCCAGTCTAAACCCTGCGAGTCAAATCTGGCTGCATGCAGTACACTAATCCCAGCTTGAGCCTGTCATGCATTACATACACTCGAGTCATAGGGATAATCTTCCATTAACCTGTGAAACTGAGACTTGCCAAACGTTTTAACCCTCTACCACTATTTCATAACACTCAACCAAATTCTGAAGGTTTTCTCAAAATGTCTCAGGCCTGAATAATAATTCGGTCCAGTCCAGGAAAAATATCATTTTAATCAGATTCTCGGGTAAAAGAACTTCTTTTCAGTTAAACAAATATGTTTGTTTATGCTTTTTTTTTTGTGAAAGTCAAGCCACTTTCACACAAAACCAGAGTGATGATGTAATTCCCTGTCACCATCTTTGTTTATATGAGATAAATGTACATAGCCAAGAAACTGGTTTAAAGGATGTTTTTCCTGGACCGACCTGAATTATTTTGACTCCAGATCATTAGAAGAGTCTATGAGGGTTCGGGAAATACAGGTAACCTTCAGAATTTGTGTGAGTTGTCAAACAATGGTACAAGTCTCAAGCCAAGTCTCAATTTCCCAGGTTAATGGAAGATTACCTCTGTGACTCGAGTGAATGTAATACATGAAGGGCACAAGCTGGAACTAACAGTACGCATGTACAAGTGGCACCCAATGAACCCCACATTTGTTCTTCTCATGCCAGAACACATCAAAGTGGACCAACCCTCAGATACCTGAGCTATCACTTGCAAAACCAGTAACCAATTAGTACAAAAAGGAAGTTATTTGTAGTCACACTTTATTATATGGTCAAAATGCCTCATAAGCACACATCTTGTAGCCCACCTTAGCCCCATCACCAGCTCATCAGACTGTAAAATGGTAAAGATAATAATATACTAATGTTAACAGGCATAAAGAGAGACCAGCAGCACTTGCCAGCAAGTTTTCTGCACCCTGCAAGTATCCAGATGGCCTGTGTGTATTTATAGTGTGTTAGTTAAATCTGCTGCTGTTGGAATCACAGGCGCCACAGGCTCCGTCTCTCTGCATGGCAATTAAACAGGAGAAAGCTGATGTTGGATGAAAAACACATACTTACAAAATGTTTTCAAGTGCAAAAAATGTGAAAACCTACAACAGGAGCTTCTACCCGGTTTGACAGTCCCAGAAGGAACTCGGCACACAAATGATCATGTAAACATCTGATTCAAGTGGGAGGAAAAGCAAAGTGCAGCTACCAGTTTTATTCTCTCCAGTGACAGCAGTGA